ATTTTAGAAACCGATTTCCATTAAACCTTGGTACTTGATTGGATATTTGGACGGTTCTTCCTCACAAGTTTTGGACCTTAGCACATCTGCCATTAGTTTCTTTTTCTTCGAAAAGAAGAAACGTTAGTAACAATGATCAATAATTTTTTAATAGCTACAAAGAAAAATCATTAATTATGGATATTAAAAGAACAAGCCTTGCAACCAATATTTCGTTCATGCTACTAGTTAACCTTTAGACAACATTTGTATTGAATGAACTATCGATTGAATGCAAAAAGTGTAGCAAGTAAATTTTTTGCATCATAATGAACAACTGCGGTGCATTGAAATCCACGCATATTATACACTCATTGCGGACACAGATACTGATAACAATTCTTACTGCCACTTAAAGGATATAGGACAAAACTCTCGGCGTTGATCTTCTATCCCGGAAGGATTCATCATACACCCGACTTCATCAAGCGTCGTTGGAGGTATGGAGGTTGGAGGGTTGAATGCATATCTGGTTTTTACAATGAATCGTAATGGCCTACCGACGTATCGAGCCAGTGCAGCTATCCTCTCAGACAAGTACGGTACCAATTTGTCAACCCCGGAGGGATAGAAGGCTTGGTGGGCCATGAGCGCGGAGATCGATTCAAACGTATGTGTTGCAGGGCACCTCCGACCACTGTTCAGCACGCGCCACTTATTTTTTGAAAACTTTGGAATTTCATCACTCATTCAGGAAAATGGTACAATCGCAATAACTCGTAAGTGCACAAGAACCACTTATCTTTAATACGGCTTCTGGACAGCAGTTTGTAACTAGCTAAACACGGTCTTCGTTAGTTGCGTCGTTTTAATGGAAAGGACTGCATACATAGGCACTAATTCTTGTATTTTCTCTTGCTGGGGTAATCATTAATACAACGTTCTATCGCCATTCTGGTATTCTTTTGTTGTTTTGTTATGGAATTTCTAGAAATGGAAGCAATTCTCGCTCCACATATAACCAAAGCTTTATTTCACACTGTTAAATATAATTCATCACTTAGAGTCATTTAATGATTTCTGTAGTCTAAGTATTCTTTCACCTAGTGACGGTAGGCATTGATTTCAATGCGGTAATTAAGATAATAATTGCCACTTTCAGTACTGCTCGTATTTGGGTGTATTAATTTAAATATATAGCCATTACAGTAAATAGACCTTTGCTTATAAGGTAGAAGCTCTCTCAGTACTTCAACTTTAAGTTCTGATTTATTAGTAGGGAAATTGTAGTCTGTTGTCGAAGAATCAGCTCCATCGCGAATGTATTAGGTTGCTAAGCGTAATATTGTTCATGCATTCTTTCATTGATAAGCTAACACGAGGTTCATAAGAAACCTTATTCGGCTAACGTTTCGCCGTCTCTTTCCTCCTCACAGGCGGATTGATCCGAGTCGATTGTCCACAGTTCCTCCTTCTTCCGATGTGGGTCTTAAAGCTCGCATCGGGTCGAACCCAGTGAGACACCTCTTGAGTGCAGTAACCTTACTCAGCGGTGTTCTTTTATACAGGACGGTTGTTGTTGATAGTGATTGTCTGTTGATAATCGTTTTTTTTAAATGGACAATCCATCCTGCAGCACTTTGCATCATTATCAGTTTTTAAAATAACCTCGTGTTAGCTTGTCAATGAAAGAATGCACGTTGATTAGGTGTATTGAGGTTAAAGCAAAGTCGGTACCTGCTCTCTGTGCCTTGTATTAGCTAATAATAATTCCAACTGCTATAGGATGGATTGTCCGTGGAAAGGTAAACGATTATCAAACACCGCAACAACAATCAACCTGTATAAAAGATTCAGTAGGATATTGTATATTATTGTATATCACTGCCGAGTGAGGTTGTTCATTCGAGTGGTGCCTCACTGGATACTACTCGGTGCGATCACAAATACACACATCGGAAGAAGTGAGAGCTGTGACTAATCGACTCGGATCATCGGCTCTGAGGAAGGCAAAGGCGCCGAATAGTCGAATAAAGTTTTTCTTAATCTCGTGTTGGCTTATCAACGAAAGAGTGCATATTGACCAGTCAAACCGACGTTAAGCAAAAATCGGCTTTTAAAATATAACGTAGTTATATTTGATGAACAGGGTACTAAATGGTTTCCGAAAAGAATATGGCGAACATTGGAATTGTTGAAAATAACTAGTGGGGTAATGCGACCCTTTCTTTTTCGTATGTGCAATACGCACGAGTTAGATCCCGTGGCTCACACTTATAAAGATTTCCATCCCTCCAGAATCGACAGATTGGTACCGGACTTGCATGGTAGAATAGCAGCACTGACTTGATACATTGCTAGATTACTGCAGGACATTATATAGGAGAGATATATGTATTCAATCACTTTCAACGACGCTTAGCGAAATCGAATGCATGAGACACCTCCTATGGATTGATCAACGCCGAACGCTTTGTCCTTTCATACTACTACTTTAAAGCCAGTTCAATAGAACGGAAATACGACGATTGAAGGGAGTAGTTATAAATTATAAAGGTGACGAAGAACTGCGAAATATCGTAATAATAGTGATAACATTCATTACGTGACCTTTCATATCACCACAGTAGAATTGCGTTGACATGGAATAGTCTGCTTAGAGAAAATCTAACGATAAATCGTTAAGGACTATAAACATACATACATATTTACTTTCTACTATAACTGAATGACAAGTTCTCAAGCACCGTAATGATCACAAGCACTTTTTTCAGTAACTTCGCCACCTGGGTACAAATGGTTGATGTATCTTACGTTAGAAACACATTTTCATATCTCGGTGACCATTGGGGTTGAGGACGTTTACATTCTAGGTGTTCACTTTGCTCTTTCGTTTCCTCCTACCTGTCATTCACCAAACCCGCCCATTTTGTTTTTTGTGTACATTTCCAGAATCTCATCGATGATGTATTTATTTGTCGAATAGTTTAAAATGTCAACCAGAATTGCCGTTCTACGTGCCAGTTAGCTTACATTTGAGGTCATAGTCTGTCTTTCTGTGGATTCGGCGAAGTTTTTAGCGCTAGTGAAGTGTCATTTCAGGTTCCAAGTAGATGGCGAAAAATCGGCGTAATGTGCTTTCGTCTTGCTTATTCATAGTTCTCGTTTTGAAAGAAGGGATCCAGTTCTTGATCGACCAACGTTGACAGAATAGCGTTTGCTTAGACGTTATCGGAGCGTTTTCTGTAGTTGATTGAGCTTCAGATAAAACATACGCGGTACTTCTTACATGCTTTTATGAAACTAGCAGTGATTCACGCTCAACAGGATGAATATTACAATGTGAACTTCTTTGTTTACTGCCTACTACAACAACCACAACGACACTGAGATATTTGCAAAACTCCGGACGGAAGGTGTATGCGATGGGATCGAACACGCTATTACCTTTTCCGGGGGCTAAAGCGCTCACCACCACATCATGCGCGTTCTTCCTTCCAAAGAATGAATATCATCCAATGTCTTTGATATGCGAGCGCAGTTCGTCGCATTTGTAGTTCAAATAAACAACTAGGACCTCACTAGGCATTGGGGCTGTTCCATTAACTGTCTTGATTACAACTTAGAACTGGGAAGATTTCATGGTTTGTCTTCACCATGACCTCGAAATGTGGTGCTGATTTGCGAAGCGAAAAAGCATGAATGAGAATATCCCATTATTTTTTCAAATTATTAGCAGGAATTTCGTAGGACTAGGAAATTCTGACTGGAAATCGCCACAGCCACGAGATTACCGACGGCAGGACTTTGTACGGCTTCCAAGCAACATTTAACCACTTTGTTCTACCGAACCTCCTGTGCAACGATGTGCAGTTAGGTGAGGTTCTACACTCCTCTCATACATAGTTTGCCGTTTACTTCTCAGGTGATGCAAGTTGATGAGGTCTCCACGTTTCTTTACACTTAGTGCCGTACACTATCCACTCCCCTTTCACACAGCCAACATTTCATATTCATATGAATGCTAAGATGCTTCCCTGATAGCCATAACATGAAAAAGAATAGGTTTCGCGGCACAAGTGTTAAAAGCGTGGTAACCAATTGAAACATCACAGTTTATTTTTTACAACGCGAATTTCCCGTCAAAGAACATTCCTAGCTTTTAAACTATGAAGCCAACCTACCTATGCTCATAGACTACTTAACTATCGTATAGACGAAATGCCCTCGTAAGGTTTCCAATAGTACGTTTAATTGTGTACGGAATGTTCCATGAACTTGAGTGGAAATTACTCTTAGGTTATTTTAGCTAACCAATATTTTCGATTCCATGTTAAGATTGAGCAGGGTTGCTTCACCACCGTATGCTGTTCGACTTCTATAGCTTGCCGGTTTAAAAAGTCCTAAAGATGCATCGTTACAGACTGTACAAAGAAAATTTATTAAACATTTGTAAACATATATGCGGCATCCCAACTCAACTCAACATAGGACTCGCACTGCGGCGACGACTACGGAACAAAATAAGCGACTAATAAAGTTGCTTTTATATGACAATGAATGCGGGACAATCTGATGCATAACGGTGAAGACGTCAGCTATCGTAGTACTGCATAGAATATTTATCAGCAGGCGAGTACTTGAACTGCGGTTGACCGGGTGGAACAGCTGTGCTTCCATTTGAACTCCTCCAGCTGTGGAAAGAGCTGTTTTGATTGCTACCCTGTGAAGAAGGTGACGCAATCGAATTACCGTTCACTCCACCCCAACCTAAGTTGTATCCTGGAGGCGCACGAACCTAAAACATATTTTGGTCTTAAAACTGGATCCTCCACATAGTAGCCAGACTCCTATCAAATTTATGACTATAAATGTGATAAAGTTGCCAGGAATCACCGCCTCGACAGTTGTCCTAAGAGTAGTATCAAGGTGAGCGCTCAAAACAGGATTTCAATACTACAAGAGAGAATGAAGTGCGCAATAGAAAATCATTACATTTTTTCTCATTAGAATAGAGTAGATTAAAAGAGAAATCTACACCGGAATATATGTATATATACATATATATATACATATGCATTTGTATTATAAACTGGACAAAGACAATGTTGAGGAATGAAGTCTACTACCTGTGAAGAATCCGTGGTAGTACCATTTCTCCAAATTTCGTGATGAGACTGCTGTTGAAGCAGTGGATGAGCTTGCTCAGATGCTGGTCTCAACGGACGAATATCAGCCAGACTACCTAGAGGCGTCGACCATGACCAAGGTGACGCAGCCGGGGCAGCTGCTGATGGAACGGCAGATTCGTCTAAGGGGAGTGTGGCCGGTGCTGGCCCTGGACCTGGTCGGACACCTATGGGCAGTGGTTGCTTCATGGGTGAGCGTTCGAACAGTTGAGTTGTGGGTGGCGGGGCACTTGAAAGATTTCCCGTCACTGATCTTGAAGAAGATGGCGTTTGGGGAGTATGGCTGTTGGAAGAAGTAGTGGGAGTACTGTCTCGTGGAGAAACTGCAACAATAAAATTATAACTCCATCAAGATAATGTGAAAACAATTTGTTGTGTTCCCAGGCACCATGTGATGAATAGCGATTGCTTTGTGGTGTACGAGGTTGACCAATTACACCCGCTGGTGGTGGTTGAATTACCGCAGAAACCGACGTCGAAATGGTAGTGCATGCAGGAGTGGATGGTTGCACTACCTGTACAGGAGGCAAACGAACTACCTTTGGAAGTACCGGCGGTGAAGGTACCTCAAAAATGATGTATGTGAAGAAGGTTATCATTTCAAAATGGTCACCACTATCCGAACAACTTACTTTTAAATCAGTTAACTGAGCAAGAGTTCTTTGCCCTTTGCGAATAGACTCGCAGGCTGCTTCGAATTCTATCCTAGTCTGAGATATTGTCGACACACAGTCGTCATGAGCACATTTCCATTCAGCTACACTTCGCCGCATTGTCTCCATATCGGAGTGAGTACGTGCACTAAATACATATTCGAATGAGTAAATGTTCGAAAAACTTAGATATATAACAAAACGCCGTCATATGTAAATAATATGAACAGCGGTGCCTACCGTTTCAGATTATCTTCGGCTTCAGCGAGATTAAGTGCAGCCTCATCTCGGGTCTTCTCAAGTAAGTTTACTCCGGCAGCCAGCATCATCCCCACTTGAGCGACTTCTGCGGAACGGGCACGCTCAAGGAGTGCGGTGATTTGAGATATGTGCTGTTTTCGTTCCTTAAAGGGTGTGAATAAGTCCGAAACAACGTTTATATTACCAAGAGATTTTTAATACTTGTTTTCAGATTTTCAAACACATGTTCTCTACACTTTAACATGTTATCCTATAGACACCAAATATGTATCAAATTGAGTTGATCTCATGACAACTAAGATAAATGAAGTGTGTATATGTAAATATTTTGTAAGTGCAAGTTCACTAGATGGTTTACCTTCTCCCATTTCTGCTCACGATTCTTCACATCTCTCCTAAACTCCTCATGCTGTTGACGCTCACGGTCTCGCTCACCTTCACGCTCAAGGGCTTCGCTTTCTAACCTTCGCACCTGTTCTGCATCTCGTTCCTGAAATACATCAGAAAAAATTATTTAGAAAAACCTACAATACGCAAACAATCATAATATCATGATAATACACTCTATAAACTACCTTTTCTTTCTTTGCTTTCGAACGGTCTTCAGCAGCTTTTTTCTTAACTTGGTCTAGTTCTTTTTTGAGAGATTTCACCTTGTCTTCGAGGTCAAACTTCTCGGCTTCAAGGGTACCTATGCGAGTCCTGAAAACAGCATAAAAAATTTAAAATTTAGTGGCACATGTCCGAAACCCTTTTCCAATTTCATATCGATCATGTTGCCAAGTTCAAGGATGAAGAACTCAAGGATGATAAGGACTTAATGAAATATCCAAGCACACATTATATATGGTGGCTAGGAAGTGCTCCTAGGTGTCGGACTGCGATCTACAGCGGGATCCATCCTCTGGTAGGATCTCCCAAGCTGAATCCGGCGTTGCCATCAAGAAGTCTAGCTAAGAGTAAACCAATACCAGGATTCACCACCGTCCTGGCATCAAAGTCGCATGGTGGTAAATCTCCCTCTAATCCATAAGGGCTGCGACTGCCTGTAGTGGCGAAGACTTTGGCCAGGTTGACCTCAAGATTCCGGAGAACCACAATGGCTTAACCAGCAAATCTCAGAAAAGTAGAGATTGTACTGGGACCCACACAACCAGTGTATACATGTATATATATATGTATACATATACAATATACTTGATACTTAAATACATAATACATATGCATATATATACATGTACATAAGTACATATTTAAAGTCAGAAATTTGTTTACTATCATACTGGGTTGCTGAGTTTTTCGGATACGAACTGTTTGATTATACGGGAAACTTAACGTTGTAAAAGAGTAGTACGTTGAAAAATACAAATGAGATATTATGATATGGCATAAAACAAAAGTCGTACTCGTCTTGCTTCGCTTTCTTTTCCATTTTCTTAAGGTTGCTTCGTGCTTCCTTCAGCTGTGCAGTCAACTGCTCCGTTTTGGCTGTTTCTTCTTTCAATTTTGAAGATTCAGCCATGCGTAGTTGCTCTGCCTTTAAAATCAGCATAAATGAGGATAACTATTACAGTATGATTTGTCATTTAATAAAAATACTCTTGGTATAAATAACGACCTTCTTCTTATGTTCAAGTTCTTTCATAAGATCAGCTCTTGCTTGCTTCCAAGCAGCCTCGGTTTCAGCCAATTTCTCCTCGTTGCGTTTCATCTGTTCAGCAGCACTAGAAATAACCATTTAAGCAAAAGCTAAAATAACCAAATGAAATAAAATTTACAAACCGTAGAGCATCTGGACCTTGAATAATCTGCTGCACTTCTCTAGCTTGTGCCACCATGGTCTCCATGCGGTCTCCAGTCACCTGAGTTCCATATGATCTATTACTCAAATGAAGGATGTTATACCACGACGTAAAGATTTACCAAGAAATTCTACATACCGACAACGTTTGAGAATAATTGAATAGTTGCACAAGCAAGGCACGAAGCCCAATTGAGCTATTATTTGGTTCCTTCTCCATAGATTCAATTTTATCTAAGATCTGAAACACATAACACTCACACTTTTTACGCACCAGACTCGAAACTCAGAACACTTACTGTATAATGTCATTAATTGTGGCAAACTGTGGAATTGACGATGATGTTTTTAGTGTACTCAAGCCTCTTCCCAACAGTTTACCGCGTCAATGTGGCTGGGAGGTTTAACTAGGTCTCATGCCGCGATGTATTGCGGGCGAAATTATCCCCCAAGCAGAGCTTCCCAAGCGGAATCCGGCGTTTCCAACAGGAAACCCAGATAAGAGCAAACCAATAACCACTGTCATGGTATCCAACTAGTCGTATGGTGGTAAATCTCCTTCTGATCCACAAAGGCAGTGACTGCCCGTGGTGGTGAAGACCTGGAGCAGACTTTCGCTAGGTTGACCTCGACGCTTCAAGGAATCACGATGGCTAAACCAGCAAAATTCCGAAAAGTGGAAATTATGCTGGGGCTCGCACAACCAGTAAGGACTGGCCATCCAAATATCTAAATAAGTATTCAGACCTACCAAAACTATTTGAACAGCGAAAATCTGCTATCATGAATGAACATGACAGTATTCCAACTTGTGCCAATGTTATTTATGGAATTCATTATATATGTATACACATATATCACATAAATATAAAAGACTCATTCATATTTCCGAACGGAAGAGACAGTAGTGGGATGTAGGGTTAAAGCTCTCATTAAGTCGCAATATCCTGGTACTTATGGTAGTCCAGAAACACATACCAAGTCATGAACGCGACAATGACTGATCTCATTCAGAAGTTCACGCATTTGTTGTTCAACGTCCTCTCCCGAGAGGCATGCACTGTGAAGCTTTAAAAACTTGAAATAGTGAAGTTAATAGATAAATAACAAGAAATAAGACAAGCAAAGGAACTTACTTCTTCGAAATCATCTATACTTTCCTCATCCTCAGCTTCTGAAAGAGACACTGCAAATTCTGATGGTGGCTCAGACGGTGGTGAAACTGGACGCTGTTGCTGCTGGGCTGCCTGTGGATGGGGAAGCCTCCTCTGCGCTGCTACCGTTTTGCGAGCTACAAAAGATGACCAGTGAACAACAGCAGAAATATGAAGACAACATTGTACTCACCAGATTTTCCACCATTTGAAACCGTTGACGTCTTGGGAATCTTTTTAGGTACCTCCTCACTTGAAACGTTACTCATAAAACTCATTTTCGCGAAGGTTGCCGTAAGAATCTAAGCACAGAGTGAAAATAGGTGCAAGGAAAAAATGAGACTTTCAAGAAATAAGCTCACTTCTGACTCGAACATCTGCTCAACTACCTTGACAAAGCTTTCTGCAGCCTTATAGATGCGGTTGGAATGTACTGTGCACAGCCCAGATGCGAGACAGCACGTTCCATGATCCTGAAATGTAAGACGCTCAAGCTAAGCAACTAGATAAAAAGTCAGTATTTCGTAGCTTCGCAACAGTTTGGTGAGTTTACACAATAACGCTACGAATATACTCAAATCGGAACGAGGCGGATCATAAAAAACGAAATTCTTGCTGTTTGTTAGTAAACCATTCCAGATCACGCCAGGTTCTCGACTTGTGAGAATTTCTCAATCACTAGAGTAGATAATTGATAGTTGGGAAATTTCAAAGGTTACAGAAAAGGAGCTACCGTAGCCATTATAGGGTATACATTTGTCATAAAATATCTCAATCTTGGACTCGTTTGAAATGAAAAGTCTTGGATAAACAGAAAGGTAAAAATTGAAAATGGAAATCTCGAAACTTCCAAAACAACTGTGGCAGCATAAAACTTCAACGATACATGGAATTTACTGGATAAAACCCCGCTTGTTGAATCGTTTTGGCTGGAAATACGAGACTCAACAAGGGAAAAGAAAAGGAAAAAATTGCGTTTCATGGGTTGAAGAAAACTTAAATTTTTTCATGGCAAAATAGGACTACTTCAACTAATACAGTTAACTATAAGCCAAAATGTGTTGGTCCAAAGCTAAAAACATGTATTAGTTGCGAATCAGGTATGTTAAAGTCAGCGCATGCAGTCGCAAATGGACTAACATATTCTATATTACCCACATCGCTGATGATTTCAAGGCGCTTCTGCATAATGGCGTTGAGGGTTGCAGTGAAACAACGCATTGTCTCATCAGAGCCAGCCAGTTCTGGTGGTATCATATCCTGACACTATAATAGAAAAATATTGTTGATGTGGAAATTTCAACTTCATATAAATCACATAGGTTCTCTATTGATAAATTTGCAAAAAACGGCATTAGAGAAATACAGCTATTTATCTCCAAAATAGAACTCCCACTTGCATTTGCTGTCTTGAGAAAGAATTTATGATAGACCAATTGTGACTTAATAGGCCATTCTTAACATTTGTTTAAGTAGCACCAAACTACTAAAGTAACGCTGATATTCGCTTATAGTGAGATCGCTTTTTCGTGTAAAACAAGGATAGTTTTGCAATTTGATCAATAGAATATGCGATTCAGAACGACTCCTTTTCAGCCTCATCAAACAGTTCTCAAAAGAAATATTCCGCACAGTTTCCACAAAAGCTTGATAACCTTGGAAGTGATATGTAGAGTACAGCTAAGACTTACAACTGAGACTAAACTACGAGTAGTAGTCGGTCATTTTTGAACAAAGAATGCTTGTCGCTTTTTTATTTTGTGCTATAAATGCAGTGTAGCGTAGAAACTATGAAAAAGATGGGGCTAAGTCGAGGCTTTTCATTTTAAGCTCACGAAAACGAAACTTACGAAATTGTCGATGCCAAAATTCTTGATGCAAAACTGAAGAAGGCGCTGCTGATCCGCTTCAGAGATTTTTTCCACCTGCTGCAAAAAATAAAAAAAAAATTAGCACATAACTACAGAAACCGTGCCACAAAAGAACACGGCCCTAACCGGCTGCTGTTCACGCGTTTGCATAATCTTCTGCAAGACTTCCTCTGTCGACTCGGCCATTTTCGCTACATTATCCCGAAATAGAGAGTCCTTATTTATTCCAGATGCAGCATGACGCTGAACAGTGGAGTAGACACGTGGCTCGAATCATAAATCAACAGCACCACAAAACTACACCATACCCTTTCTCGAGTGGCTGCCTGCATTGGTGAAGAAGCTGTGACCAAAGAAGGGGCACTATCGGTGACTGGAGTCACAGTTGCAGCTAGCGCATTAAGTTGTGCAGGTTCCATGTCGCCACTATCTTCCGTTTGACAACCATTTTCACACATTTCTACTTCAACATGCTCACCAATGTTGTCCTTAAAAGTTTTTTGTATAATTGACATAAAATCCCTATATATGCTAACCATTACCTCATAATTCTCATTGTCGAGTTCTTCATCATCCGGTTCAAGTGATGATATCGAAGAATGGCACACATCACGATGATGGTGAAGACCACAACCGCACACTATAAGAATTGTTCATTTGGAATTGCAGCAGCATAAGCTTGTTTGTTTGGAACAATATGCTTATACTTATAGGTCCAATTCATACAGTGAGGTCCTTCCCTCTTCGCACAGAAAACTAATGAATCTTCATGATTCATACAGGCCACTCACTTTCACGGATGCCATTTTCACCGTAATCACTTGAGTCGTCTTCACTGTGAGCCAGATCTCCACTTAAATGAATGCAACAGATTAAAAAAAAAAATCAAATGCAGTTATTACATGCCATAGTAAATACAAAAATACTAGGTCATATTAAGCTCTTAAGTGCATTAAAAACGTAACAATATAAAAGAATCACAAGATACCAACCAGTCTCCTCGTGCTCCGAGTTTTTCATCTATTACGCCGTTCTGTGGCTCTAGCGAATTACGTGATTTGGCAGCTTCTACCTCTTTGTCTTCATTTCCCTATTAAATCAGATTCTCATAACTAGTTTCCGATGTTTACCAGTTTACAATAGCCAAAATGGAACATAAATCTAAGACCTAGAAATTAGAAAAAAGTGAGAGAAAAAAGAGACGAACTTTAACATATTCGCGACGATAATCAGATTTAAATGCAATTTCCTCTTAAACTGTTCCTCCCTTGTCCAACCCTTTCTGTAATACCGTTCACATTGAACCAGTAGCCCCCAGTACACAGATGGTCAACCAGGAGTTGTCCGAGAGAAGACATTCTCTTTTTTCCAGAAGAAAACAGTTTTTGAGACCAATTTGTTCGTTTTCATGAGCCCTAACAAGATTTCTGGCACACTATACGAACAAAGTAACAAACGAGATTACTACTAATGAAGAAGAAATTTGATGGCTGTTGTGAGCAAGGACGTCTTTACCTATATGTATCAAATTCAATGCATATCACGCGTGGCGAAAAACTAGGCGTACGTGCTATTTTACGACTGGCGTACTTCACTATTAAATAAGAAATAAAATAAAAACAAAAAAACCACTTGATCTAATACACTGCCCCAATATATTTCTATTATTATTAAATTTGTAGCACCGGCAGTAAGTTCAGAACCAAAGAGATTCAGACTATCTTGGTACCTTGACTTGTTCAGCAATCGTTTTATTGTCTTCCGATCCAGGTGACGTCGTGTGATCATCGCCGGTATCCTCTTCATCCAAAAGCTGGAAACATAACAATCAAAAGTACTCAGCCTCGTGAGTCTACCAAAATATATGGAATACAGTTGCCCACCGCCTGGTCAGTCAGCATTTCTTTCCTGCTGAATGTTTTCATTGTATCACTATCGCTGAGACTTCTACTTCGTTGTTTTCGAGCTTCCACGTTTTGCTTTACCTCGGACTGAAAGAAATAACAAGGTAATAAGCACAATAAGTAGACTACAAATCTTAAACGACAACAGTAAAACAACGCTCCTGGCAGTAACAACAAAAACCATAAGTACCTTTTCCCCTCTTTCAACTTTTTGTTTCGACTCCTCCGAGCTCAGAGAATTGCTGTTATCATCTTCTCCTTCGCCCGATTTCCTCTCGGAATTTCTAAAGTTAAACAAATTCATAAATACGCAAATTCATTCGCAATATAATTTTTAATAAAAAGTTCTACCCACAGATATCTCAGTAAATACTTAAGCATACTGAGCAATAGAAATGTTGTAAGTTCTAGGATAACACCGCCTATACAAAAATATGTACAAACACTCTTTTCAAACTAGTTCCAGCATTTCAAGCAACAGTAAGGGTTAAAAACACTGCGAGGGTAGAGTGGTCACAGAAGCGGAAAGTTAGAGAAGCACACAAAAGGGTTATGTGCCAAACACAAATACTCGCTGCCCTATGACTTATTCGATAAAAAAAAATTGCAATTCTTTTTGATAACACCTATTCGGGCATCTCAAGAACTAGCAAAGTTTATCCTCTCGAGGATATACCTAAAAAAAGAAAGAAATGGGTTCACACCTTTCACAGCTTTTTTAAAGCAAAGTCCTTGTATTCTATCACTAGCCTGTCCAACATTAGTGCTATGTCAGGCATGACTTGACAGAAGCTTTTCTCTTCATTTAATAATTAGCAAAAAAGTCTCTTTTGAAGGATTTAATTTTGGTGGCGAAACTACTGTTGAAAAGAGCATACGGCATAGAGACCATAAATAGCACGATCATAGAGATGCAGAAATCTCTCTGCTTGTACATTGGAATTCGACACATAGGAAGTGTTTTTCCCCATTATAGAACGATAAAATACTGAAGAGGCTTCTTCGAAATGGCTGTGTGGTAACAAACGTCTATCAGGGTACATCGGTACAGTTTGCCTTTCGAAACTGTCATCAATGAGGCGCAGCGGAAGTGTTTACGAACGCACTGAGCGCTTATTAGTGGGAAACTGTAGCACCTGAGATTTGTCACCGCAAGAGTACAACCAGTTGAAGGCGATAACCAAGTTGATCCCCTAAAAACCATTAGTCAATGTGCAGAAGAACTCAACGTCAACCAGTAAACAACTGGTCTCCATTTTAAAGACAATGAGAACATGAACACGCTCTACAAATGGATGCCAACCAATTTAACGAAGAATCAGCTAGTCGTTGTAAGTTGTTCTCGCTGATGACAAAAACACATTTCTCAAATTCCTATGTAATGAAATGGATTCTATGCAACCGACGACATTGCAAACATGACTGGTACGAGGTGAACGTTTACAAACACTTCCTAGGCCAGATTTGCACTGAAAGAACGATACGCTGACTTGTTGTTTCGAAGTCCGATTTTCTAAAAAAAAAATGCCGAGTTCTTGGGAAAAGGTAGCGACGTAGAAGTACTCCCAAGAAATAAACGAGTCTGCTTAAGAAATGCAGCACACCTACCAGGACTAAACAAGATAAAATGACCGGTCCTCCTACGCGAAAGCGCTCTACTAAATACGATCCTGTGGCTCAGTCACCACTGCCGCTGGATCTCTTCTCAATCGTATACATTTTTCAGGTATCTCAATAACTACTAGAACGCTAAATCTCCTACAGGATAACTAGAGTGAATGCCTTCGGAGAATCCATCGCATCTAAATTTCTAAAACTAAACTCTGGAATTTCAAGCTACCGGAATGAACATACTTGTATCGTACATTTAGGGACAACAGAGTGGTCCTCCAGAAAACACAACCCAACGAAAGAACGAACTATTCATGGGTGGGGTTGCATCAAAAAGCTCTTAAATTTGCATATTACTGAAGATGTACGAATTTGAGTAGCATTTCTTTGAATTAATAAAGTATCAAGCAAGATACGTATGTTTAACGCTGAGTGCCAACTGCAAGGGAAAGCTATCTTTAGTAACATATGTGTCCTATATAACTCATAAGAACACTGTCTTAGACGTAGGCATTGTAATTTACGATAAATAGCATCTAGCAACAAAGCTATAATAGGCCCTAACAACTTGTTTTGAAAAACGAACTCACTATATTATCAAATCAGTATACAATTAAAGTAGTCCCACTAAACAAATACCTTCCTGGTATTTCTGTCAAAGTAATTCTCACCTAACAGAAAATAATAAAGACGAGTACTAAAATTTTTAAAGCATCTCGGATTTAAGTACTTACTTAAGCGCCAAAGATCCATTCTTTTTCCCTTGCGGGACAATAGCACGTCTTTCCTTCTTGATAACTTTAGTCGCCTTCGAAGCAGTCGCAGATTTCTGAGCACCTGTCAATGCTTGTCGTAAGGACGTCGGACGCAACGCGTCACCAGTTCCTTTCGGTACGTCTTTCACTGAAAGATCAAATACTAACTTACAGTCGCTGTCTTACCAAGGCAAAAAATGTAGGCAAGTTAGCCTAGGAAACTACGTAAAGAAACATGCCCTTCTCGATTCGATGAATACTCTCAACCAGTTTGTGGTTCACCAAGCGTTCTCGTTGCGCTTCCAGCTTTTCTTGTGATTGTTTATCTTTGTCTTTACAGAATTTCAACGCCTATAACAGTAACATACAGTCCAAATTTAAAAAATGAACTAAAAAGCAATAATGACGAGATTATTCGAAGTACTCATACAAAAGTTATTATTAACGTCGATACAGAGATCTCTAGAAAAAAGGTACATGAACTTGATGGCGAATATAGACCACAGTCGCTTCCCTCAGAATTTTATGAAAGCACTTTTATGTCCGACTCCAAAACACCGCAAAACGATAGCAAATATTTCAACGCAATTTTTGTCGGAAGAAGTGTTCTGGATTTTGGACTACGATATACATCGGAGGGGATTCATCTAACCAAGAGAGTCTCCTAAACTGAAGAGGAGTTCTCCGTTTCCATTATGAAGCCCATCCAAGAGTAAATCAATACCAGCATTCACCACTGTCCTGGTATCAAGCTAGTCACACGATGGCAAATCTCCTTTTGATCCATAAGGATGACTGCGTGTAGTGGTGACGACCTGGGGCAGACTTTGGTCAGGCTGACCTTGGGACTCCAGGAAACCATAATGATGGCTAAACCAGCAAAACTCCGGAAAAATGGAAATTATGCAGGGAGTCGCACAACCAGTGATGAAGGGTCATCCAAATATCAAAGTAAATATGGTATAAAAGCAGTTCGCGTTGCCGATTCATTTAAAACTCATCGATGAATCACACCTGCGCATTTGCTTCGATCGATAAATCAACTTGTCCTCGGGCTAGTTGCATTTCTGCTAAATTGTACCATTGGTCAATAGAACGTCGAAAATCTTCACGTGACCTGCAATACCAAGGGTGAATCTAGGGAAAGAATAAGAGACACACTGAAGATATAATATTCGATAATTACATCATATTCTTTGGCGCTTCTGCTTTAACGGTGATTTCTAACGTAACCCGGTCGTCCTTAATGTATCCTTGGCTTTCGTCAAGAACATCCTGAATAATGTTTTTTAAATGACCTTAGATATTCTAACGTCCGATGAATGAGAAACTAACCGCCCAAGTCATGAAGCAGGAATAACCCCAATCGTTCTCTTTAGCACTGTAGACATGTGTAGTTTTTCGTACGAAATTTTGTACACCAGGTTTCTGAGCAATTAGCCTCATTTCTGCTACAGATTGGCAAGTCCATGCACTAAACGAAGAAATGCTTCCACTTGATATCACTCGATGGAAGAATGACGACGACTCACTCAGAATAAGTATTGTCAGGGCAGCATTGTAGAAAAAATCCCATGCATTTTTGATTCTTTTTTTGAACCATATGCTGTTTTGGCATTACCATTATCCTCCTGCAGTAATGAAGCAAATATTACAGAGAAAAATGAAGACGTCAAAAGTGATAATGATTGGTAAGACAACAATCGTGTAGGAGTACTGCTACTGTACAGAAGTCCTGTCAATGTCAAGGAATAATTATTTCAGAGTGTAATTTAAGTCAGAGACTTATAACATTAGACACTTACCAGGGAACTCCATTAATCCGCTTACACGGAGAACAGAGTGTATCCACCATCTTCGAGAAGTGTTGAATTGTAACCCGCAATGTTTGTTCTTCGGTCGCAGGCGAAGCCGTTGTAGCTCGAGAACTTGTTGCGGGAGTAGTAGCTGGATTTGCAGCTAAATCGAAAACATTGTTAAAACGGTTTTTACCTCTCCTGTGGATCAATAATTCGTTTTGTTGGACGAAAAACGTTCACAACTGCTGATATCCACGTGGTCCACTACTGATACGGCATCAGTTTCAAAATGTATGGACATCAGCCCAGGTTTCAGCTGTAACACCTGCATTCCTCGCAAAATAACAATATAAAAGAGCTATACCTAATATGCCACTCGATACTGTGCGATTAGGTTGATCCAGTGAAGCGTGGCTACCAGTACCATATGGCGCTTCAGTTTGACAAGCTACTGATACCCGCTTCTTCCTACAAAGAAAACGCAAGTAATAGGAAGATGAGGACGAAAAGTTGACTTAAAAATCTGGTCATTATAGGAGGGATTTCAATGCTATTCTTTGGAACAAATCGAAATAGTACCAATAACACGCGTGTAGCGCAGTGGTTAGAGCTGCCCCGTAATACTTATGGGTTCGATCCTGCACCTCCCCCCAGGTTTACCAAGCCTTCAATCACTCCGGAGTCGACATACTGGTATCAGATTTGTCTGAGAGGATAGCAGCACTGGCTCGATACATCGGTAGGCCACCGCACGTCATTGCAAAGGCCAGATATGCATCGAATCACCTCCAACGATGCCTAATGACTAGAGGATCAACGCCGAAAGCTTTGTCGTTTATCCTTCATAACCACTAACACTCTAACCATAAATGAAGGAAAGAGATGGTTATAGTAATTCGCGAGGCACTTCATTTCAAATCACGACAGTTTAACAAACTTGCCACAACTAGAAATGCAGATTTGAAAAATGGATCAATTTTTGGGTCGTACTTTTTTTCTGGGTTTCCCAAACTTTTTTCTGGAAAAAGTTTACGGGAATTGTGACGAATTCGTACGGAGCTAATTGAGAAAGCCATAGTGAAGCGAGAAATTATGAAGTGGTATGGGATTAAAACTAGTTTCGTTGCAACGGCTGAGAAAGATATAATCTGATGCTCTGCGAAAACAAGAGCCTTAACGCCAGTGACATTCATAAAAGCGACATGGGTAGTTGTAGCTAAGGACAGCTAACCTACTTTTGGCTTTCACCATTTATAATACTCAAAAAGGGAAACTAACTACAGGTATGGTTTCTGTGGTACACGATAGCAAGTAGTTCTCGATTGCGTTCGACGATTGCGAGGGAACCATAATTATAGTAGGTGGACTTCATGATATTATATAAAGCTCTGGATTTCATCGAATCACAGTATGAGACTCGCATGCGCCACCATGTTCGAATAAAATCACCACCATGGACGACGATGGGTAGCGAAAGAAACGAATGGCAAATGTGCTGGGGTCAGCACAAATCGTGAAGACGACCAAGCAAGTATCCAAGTAAATAAGTAGTTCTCGAATTGTGTTCATATGCTTCGAAACCCCAAGGCTTGCTTTGACCTCCGTTGAAGAGTTCTAACCAGTTAAGGCTCATATACTGTACAATTTCTACGTATACAACAAAATTCCCATGCATCAATCGATTCTTTATTACTTTTCCATTCCCACATGCAAATTCATGCACGCATGGAAAGCTCGAAAGCTCTCGTGTTGGAAGAAAAAACACTCACACTGTTGTCACCCGCTGGGGAAATGAACTTCCAGCTTCCTCCATTTCAACCTGAAGTTAGAGGCATGAGAGAAAAAAAGAAGAAAGCTTGTCGATATCGATCAATTAAGCTTCAGAATGTTAGCAGAGCGCTGTCAACGAAAACTCTCGGTTGAAAATTAAAGAACTCTGCAGTGAAAAACACTTTCAATGAAGTGACATCATCATGAAATGCTCTTAAACTGGTGACCGGATAAGGATGTCACACCAGGGATAGCGCTGGACGTAGATGTGTTGAAACCTGTCAGAAGTACTCGGTAAGTAGTACTTGTCATGTAGAGCAAATCCTGGAGTATTCCATGAATTCCTGGGAACACTCTGTCAGTACTGGGAAGCTTCGAAGATGATAGGACCAGAAAACACCGGCCACCCACACGATTCGGCCATCATCTTAAAGGGCACCGTCTCGCTTCGCAGTCGCCTCTTCGCGACAGGACCTGTCCGGCGACACCTGTTCCTGGTGACTGTAGCAGTGCGGATGACGAAGCAGTGGAGCTTCCCAGTCTGGTCGGGAAGTTGGTGACCGCGGTCCCATCAGGATCCGGGGAGTCTGGGTTTCCAATCCGGTACAATGTCAATTTGAAATGGGTTGTTCTACTTTTTGCTCATATCTAACAGACTCCACGGATGATTTATGTTGAGATCGGGCATGTTTCGTACTGTGATTGGACGTTTGTTTGTAAGTCTAAGGAGAGTGCTTATAAAGGTACTTGTCAGAATTGAGTACTCCAAAGGAGCACAAGTCGTAGTGCTGCCCTAATTAGCGTTACTACAGGCAATCACTATACTTATAAGTATAGCTGAGAAGTGAGACCTACAGTTAAGCTCTCAGGACTTCTTCTATCCCTACATAAGCTTGAGTATTAAAGTGAGTTTTCTTATTTGAGCATTATCCGAAGTGAAATCTGTCCATTTCTGACCATATTATCCTTTAAATGGTTGGCGAGTTGGGGTTGATTGGAAGGTTAGCTGGATAGGAAAGGAAGGAGCTTGTCAAACAATGGCAGTGAATGCCTTTTCTAACTCAGTACTCGATTTTTCTCTTTATTCTTTCTGTATGAGTTCTTTCAGCCAGAAGTCTTTTAGTTTTTTCCCTTTTGTCTTTCTGTGCTGGAATTTCGCTGGAAGCGGTTCTTCGTTAACTCAATGTGGATGGTTAATGCTTCTTAGTTTTAGTTTTAGTTTCAGTTTTACTAGTCTACAATTTTACTGAGAGCCAGCTTTGACGTTTCATAAAATTCGATGGTGAAGTCAACAGGTATACTGGACAAATCACTAAGCAAAGGGAAGAATGAGGTGAGTTTAAAGGCTACCTTTCATTCTTGTGGCAATGCCATGTCCAACACAGACAGCTTCTTTGCTTTCTGGAAGATTCTGCACTTAACGTCTCAGTACGATCACCCCAAGGCTTATGTATAATGGGTATATTGTGGCCAATTTTCTAGTGATTTTGTTTGTTTGTATTGATTAAAGTAGTTGTTATGTTGTTCTATCTAATCGGTACTGTAGGAATTACTAACCAGGTGATGTTCTCCGCTTTGTACTTTATAATATTGTTGTATAGAGGCTCGTACAATGTCTTGTATTGCACTTATTTATTTAGATGCTTGGATGGGCCGTCCTCACTGGTCGTGCAGGCCCCAGCACAATTTCCTTTTTCTCGGAGCTTTGCTGGTCTAGCTATTGCAGTTCCCTGGAGTCCCGAGGTCAGCCAGTCTGCCACAGGTCATCACCACCCTAGGCAGTCGCGGCCGTTGTGGATCCGAAGGAGAATTGCCACCATGCGACTAGTTTGGTACCAGGACGGTGTTGAATCCTGGTGTTGGTTTACCCCTACCTGGGGTTCCCGATAGAAACACCGATCTCCTCAGCTTAGGAGACCATATTGGGGTGATTCCCACTGCTGTGCATCACAGTCCGACAGCCAGTAACATCTCCTAGCTACGATGAGACGGTGAAATGTTGGGAGGTGTATTGGGCTAGTTACTGTAATTGCGCCTTAGTTAATCGAGCTTATCATTTTTACATGTTTATACTGGAAAATGAATGGTAACCGGGAGAAGAGTGGCTCATAGGTTTACACACTAAATATTTTCTCACCCATTAAAAATTTTCTCACCAGCACTTTAGTTGCCAGTATGGACCAGTTTCTGCTCTTAATTCAAAATTCCGCTGTTTATGGTTTAGGTGAGCTTATCGACGTTTGCTCTCCTTTTTGCAGAGGTTGTAAAGTACGCACAAGAGCGATCAGAGACTGTGACAGATATTCATGACAGGTATGGAATGTTCTTTTCGGATTTCTCAATCATTGTCATGGGGTGTCATGAACGAAAATTATTTTTTAAGAAGTGCGTATGAAAAGGGCAGAAAAGCTCTCGCTGTTAATCAATATCTGAGAGATGCGCCATGCATTCGGTTTCATTAATCATCGTTGGAAGTGGTTGAAGGCATATCTGGCTTTTACAATGACTAGCGGTGGCCTACCAATGTATCGAGCCGGTGTTGCTATCCTACCAGACAAGTGTGGTACCAATTTGCCGACCCTGGAGGAATGGAAGACTTGGTGGATTTTGGGCGCAGAGATCGACCCCATGTGTATTGCAGGGTGCCTCCGACCACTCCGCTACATGTGCCCATAAAGAAGTACGTATCCTTAATTTTGACCCAGTGAAAGTTTTTATTGTATACATGGACTATGTGTATGAAGTAGAAAGTAAAATTTTTTAATGGAATACGAGTGAAGTTTCTTATAGAAATTTTTTATACGTTTTCTTCATTTCCTGGGTATAATAATTCCCAGTACAGAGGAACTTGTATTGTCACTAACGTGGTAAGGTTTGCAGCTTGAGTGCTAGAGGTACCATTTTGTCTTTAATCACTTCACATGCATGTTTTCTTCACAGGGAAGTAATGAACATAATGTAGTCCGGATTGTCAGTATAAATAACGACATCCTGATTACATGGTCCCTTGACTTTAATTCGGCAGTAAATTTTAAAATAGAAATCGAATTACATTGCTATAGTCCATGGTTACCATCTGTATATCTGAAACTTTGTTATTGTCGTGCTACCGAGACCGTATTTTTACCGATCTGCTTCATTATCAGATTAAAAGCAAGTAGATTATCATAGAAGTTCTCGAAGTTCTCAAGTTTTCTTCTGTTTTGTATTATTAGGGATGAAGAAGTATTTCTGCAGCCATAGAGGAACATTTCGATCGAGAGATTACATGATTAGATTCAATGTAGCGTGTAAAAGAGTTAATTATTGATTAATTGATCACATAGGCTTTGCGTGTCCGATGATCGGGATTGTTTTGCATATGTGCATGCAGGGGACCATACATGGGTACATACGTGAGTGGGTGTAGTTGCATGTTTTGCCTAAAGGTCAAGTTACTACGATGTTCATGAGAGGTACCGTGAGATGCCTTCAAGCGAAGAAGCTGCTTGTTTGCTCTCGACAAGTAGGAGCTTGACATGCCACCTGTGAGCACATTCAAGCTTTATGGCAGAATCTACATAAGCAAAAATACTCGGTGACTTCAAGGTTTTATAACCTGGCTTCACCACAACTTTGCTGTTCTAAATCTGCTCTCATTTAATCTCAATATAGACGACCAATATCTTTTTTTTTCTCGCTGGCAAGGTAAAGCGAGATTTATTCGAATAACTTTTCGATGCTTTCACTTTCATGAGGGTCGCAATGATTTGAGTTGATTGTATCGATGCGACTACAGATACTAACGACGCAGGAACTTCTACAAGTCCATGTAGAACATTTCGACCTCGTCTTCATTGAAACATGACGTTGTGGCGTAGATGTTGTAGACGATGGAGATAGTCAAGGCTGCTACTGGTGCACATCTTTTTGGTTGTAAATGTCCGATCTGGGTCGGTAGTTACTCAAAGAGATCGATATTTGTGATCAAGTTGCTTTTAAAGAGGACGATAACACCGCAAGCTTTCCATTTTAACATGTTTTACGGATTGCAATTCTGGGGGATTCCAAAGACCGTTCAATGGACTGCGTATTCTGAGCTGGGCTAATGCGAAAGCGACGTGTTTCATTTTTTTAGTTCTAATCTTCAGGATCGCATTGGAGGATGGAGGGTCTAATGCCACACACGTTAGTCATAAGTGCAGGTCAACGTCTCGCTGAATTTAGGCGGTATGGAGCGACCCTGAGATTGTTGTCTCCTCGACACTCTTTATTGCTAGCACTCTTTATTGTGGTTCTTCTGAGGATAGCAGGATGTGACCATTTGTTTCTATTTCTTTGTCGAGAAGTGACGCTGGATTTGCAAGTTTCATGTAGTTTACAATCACCTTTGTACTTCCGATCACACGATTGCAGCATTAGTGCTGGTATTGGTCCTTTAGTTTTAAATGGATAGGGATGTTGTCGCCCGATCAGATGTACTGATTAAAAGTACGGAGAAGTTGAGTGAAATTGAAAAGTTCACACACTGTGCACAACAGTGTATACCAATTGATTAGATGATAAGGGCGCGTTTAGCGCAATGGTTAAGGGTCACATGTGGTACAGATGTGCTATTTGATTCGATCCCACCACATGGCTCTGGGTTCAACAAGTTCACTATACCAACATGGTGTCAAACTTGTCTGGGATTACATTAGCAATGACTGGACACATCGGTAGGCCACGGCAGGTTATTGTGTGGACCTAATATGCGATCAATTTTAGATGCTTTGACGGAGTTTTGCATGTTTGGGCATTGTGGTTCCCTGCAATCTGAAGGTCAGCGTAGTCAAAGTCTGGCTCCGATCATCAGTCCATCCAGTCGCCGTCTTTTTGTATCAGAGAGAGATTTGCCACCGCGCGACTAGTGGATAGGGATGGTGGTTGATCCTGGTATTGATTTACTCTTGGCTGGTCTTCCGGATGGAAACGTCGTACTCCTCAGCTTGCGAGACCGTGCTGAAGTGTTGAACCACCCCCCTTCCCCTCTCTCCTTACCCTCCCCCGCCCCCTCCCCGCTGTACATCGCGGCCCGACACCCAGGAAAACTTAGCCACGATAAAGCAGTAAACAGGAGATGCGATTGATCACTATTACGCAATACGCAATCAATCTCTTCTATTAATGCTTGATGAAGTCGAATGCATGGCGGAGGCTTAGGGGATTAGTCAACTCCGGGGTTTCATCCTTTATACTTTATTGATTTGATGTCACTATTAGAGTTTGCCACCGTTTACGTACGTGTGACTGTTGCACTTATTTCATATTCACAGGTAAAGATGCAACGATACCAACCTTACCGTTTTGTAAGATTCTTTGGTGGTGTAGTTTATCACATCACATCATAACTCGAATAATATGACAGCACGAGAAACACAATTTGTGGATGTTCGGTATTAGTATTTAGCTTAGGAGGTGATAGCGAAAGCGTACCGATCCACTGAAACTTCACTTTTTTATTAGAGCTAGGATATGTTTGTCCCCGTTGCGCGTCAGCCAGAATCTATTACTACTAGTCTCAGTTTCTGTCCAGCTTTTTCCTTCATAAAGGATTCTGCAGTTGTCTGAAGCCTACTTTTACTGCACTTATAGTACAGACTCGCCTCCTATGGAAAAATTGTTGGAATTCGACTTTTGGACGTGATAACATTACGTGAGAAAGGATATCGCAGGGAGACCAAGCTTCTTGGTGAGATTTCAGATCTCACTTGTTAAACATTATCCTTCCCACGTTTATGGAGCTTGTTTTAGTCCCGTTATTTCTGTTGTATACGTCTTAGTACTTTTTTTGTCAGGAATGTTGATGTTTATAAAGTCATCTATATGGAAAAATTTATTCGGGAAAGAGGCGGACAAATTGGAGCGTTCTAACGATGACCAGTGTACATGTAAGTTCTCCACTCCTTTTTCTTTCTATATTTCTCACAGCTTCTTCACTCATTGTTGGTACTTTTTTCACATGTTTTTAGTAGAAATGCTCTAACTCCGCCAACATTAGTTAGCAATGAAGTGCAGGGAATCGGGCTCGCGTTCTGTAGGATCTTCGCGATCTGAAATTAATAGGGACATTGAGTCTTGTGCAACGGCCTAAAGTTTTAATACGTTGCCTCAGGCGTTGAGTCGTTGCCTGCCCAAACTCAGGGTCTGTATGAAAGTACTGTATAGCACTACTTAGACAACCAGTTTATTACTATTATCATGTATTAGTAGTGTCCATTTCCAAGCGTATAATATAGTTTTCCATGAAGGAAGGAAGGGAGCGTCAACAGGAAGCTGTGGGCTAATAGTGATAGAATATATAGTTTAGCATGGTACTACCGGAGTTGGAACCACTTATTTCTCTAGAATACATTTTCTAAGAGTTTCTTTCATTGCTAGTTGTAATAATGTTTCTTTATGAACAGAGCACACGGTTTTGTAGTTAAGTAAGGTTTGCTTACTTGGATATTTGGACGTCTCGTCTTCACTGGTTGTGCGGACCCCAGCATAATCTCCATTGTTTCGGAATTTTGCTGGTGTAACCATCATTGCTATGGAGTAACGAGGTCACCTTAGCCGAAGTCCGCCCCTGGTCGTCACCATCAAAGGCAATCGCCGTCCCTGTGGATCAGAGGGAGATTTGCCACCATGCGACTTTGATACCAATACGGTGGTGGATCCTCGTACTGGTTTACTCTTCGCTGGGTTCCCTGACGGAAATAGCGGACTCCTCAGCTTCGAAGACCCTTCCGTGGGAAGAATCCCCACTGTACATCGCAGCTCGGCACCCAGGAACACTTCCCAGCCACGATGAGACGGTAAACTGTTGGGTGCTAAGTAAGGTTTATGAACTGCAATGAAAGATTGGGCATTGACGGCCTCTAATAGTATTTTTTCATTGATACAGGAGGTTAACAAACAACTTTATTTGGCTAATGTTTCGACGTCTTCGTCTTCCTCAAAGTCGATGATCCGGGTCGATGTTCATAGTCCTTGGCACTCTACGTGGTTTTTTCGTCGTTTTATCGAATCGAACCCGCAGTGGGGCATCGCTCTAATGCAGAAATCTCATCCTGCGATGCTGCTTTATATAGGACGGTTGTTTTTCATATAATTGTCCGGTCTATACCCTGTTTTTTCTGGACATTCCATTTTGCAGAAGTCGGTGCCTTTATCGACTCGCATAGAGCATAACATTATTTCAAAACCGACTTTCAATTAACTTCGGTGGGATTAATCAACCATAGCCCAGTGGGTTCTGCTCGCTCTAGTACTCGTTGAGCATCATATCTTTTTTCTAGGCTTATCGTTAAGAACTCTGACCATCGAGTTGGCGGTCTGCTTGCATTACCTTTAACATCCCGAGGAATCCAGTCACTAATGGCTCCACTCCATCGGTTGCCATTCATACGCATTACGTGTCCGGCACACCTTATCTTTGACTGTCTGGCGTACAGAACGGCATCTTTGATTTTTGATCGTTGACGCAGGCAGGTCGGGGCTTCGGATTCCTTCCCTTATTTGTATGAAACGGGATACTCCTAGCTTCGTCTTTTCGACTATGTGTCCAATAACGCTGAGTTGTCCTTCATCCTGTTTACGCAGCGACCAGCTTTCTGACGCATACACTAACGCAGGAAGTACTGTTGAGTCGAAAAGGTGGGCGCGGAGTCGGGTGTTCTTTGTCCTCTTCACAACAACCCCAATACTCTTAAAATCTCCCCAAGCCGCTCGTTTCCTTCTGCTCAGCTCTGGAGCTAAGTCGTTCAACATGTTGATTTTCCAACCTAAATAGACATAACTGGAGCATTCGGAGATATTCTTTCCGTTGAGTGTGAATGGAGCATGTGAAACCAATCCGTCCTTCATGAACATCGCTTTTGCGGGATTTAGTCGAAGACCAATCTTTTCACAGGCCTTATCAAAGTTGTCAAGTATAAGTTCCGCTTGCTTAATGTTTGGTGTTATAAGGACGATGTCATCAGCAAAGCGAAGATGGTGTAACTACCGACCATCAATTTTCACTCCCATGTTTTCCCATTCCAATGTTCGCATGACATTCTTGAGGGTGCCGGTAAATAATTTTGGAGAGATGGTATTGCCTTGCTTAACCCCTGTTTTGACATCAGTGTTAATATCGTTTTAGAATGGTGATATCTTGGTTGTGAAATTTTTGTACAGCTCACGCAGGATGTTTACGTACTGAGTAAGGACTCCCTGAATATCAAGGGCTTCCATGACTACTTTTATCTCATTTGAGTTATAGGCCTTCTTTAATTCGATGAAAGTGAGACAGAGCGGTCTTTCGTATTTCCGCGATACTTCAGTGAGCCTTGTTATCTCCTTGATGTGGTCCGTCGTACTAAATCCTTTTGAAAGCGCTACTAGCTCACATGGCTGTCCTTCGTCTAGTGTTCTGTCAATCCTGAGATGACTAGAGTGAAGAGTTTGTAGACGACAGATAGCAAACAGATTGGGCGATAGTTGCCGATATCGTGTAGATCACCCTTCTTTAACAATAACACGTTCTTGCTGGTCTTTCACTGAGTAGGGACCTTGCCTACAGACAGGTAACGTGTGAAGAGTCGAGCCAGTGTGTTTACGAGAACTGGCGGAAGGTTCTTCAGGTGTTCTGTTCTTATGTTGTCCGGGTCTAGTGCTGTTTGATTTTTCACTGGCGACATGGCATGTCGGATTTCGGAAGGGAGAGGCAGTAGTACAACATATCCATCCTCCTTTATTTCATATAACGGAAGATGGATGTGACTATCGAAGAGATCTGAGTAGTATTCGTGAATGACTTTCGCCATTTCCTTTCTGAACGCTGTAACTGTTCCGTCTGGGCGTTATAGTGCAGCCATCTTGGTCTTGTAATTGGCAAAGCTTCGGTGGGCTTTGCGAATGCTTTTCCCAGTCTTTGTAGCTTTGACCATTACTGCTGCTCTTCTCTCTCTCTAAGGTCTTCTTTTATCGCTTGTCTGCATTGTTTTGCAAGTTCGGACGTTAGTTCGCTTTTGCCTGCAACTCCTGCGATTCTACGCTGGCGTATCAGCTCGAGTGTTTCTGGAGACAATCGTCTCTTGGTGACTTTCAAACTCTCAGCTTTCACAGCGCTTACGTGAAGATGTTGAATTAGCCGATGGCATTCCTCGTCGATGTTATCGACCATGGCATCTTCCCAACAGCCGAGTAATGAATTGATTAAGTGCTTGTTTATGGTGGTTCTGGGACTTCGGTTTTTGAATTTAGCGGTTTTTTGTCCTCTCCGCGTGAAATGGGATCTTGCACGAAGGAGGCAAAAGTCTGATCCGGTGTAGAATTTTGGGACAGCAGTAACAAAACCTTCTATTTACTATGATGTGGTCTATTTCACTATGGTACTCTCCATTGGGAGACTCCCACGTCCAGCGTTGAATGTGGAGCTTTTGGAATTGCGAGTTACCATGGTCTTGGTCGTTATAATAAACGCGGAGTGCCGCTCATCCTTTTCGTTCCATTCTAATCCGTTGGTCCCAATATGACGTTCTTCAGACGTTCTTCTTAGTGCAATCTTGGCGTTGAAAGCTCCAATGATAACCTTGAAGAATGTGCGGTCTTCTCTGTAGAACCATCTAATAGCGTTCGAAATATGAAGTGTAAGTGGTTGCTTCGTTTTCCCTTGAATAACTTGCCGCTACAGTTTGGCAAGGAGTGCTAATATTGTCAGTGTAATCTCCCGGACTCTGAACACATTTGACATTTCCTTTCTGTAGGCGAGGTAAGAAAAATTTTGTGGGCTACGGAGCATGCTGAGCAACACGTGGCTGCTTTCTCGTCAAAGAAATGTGAAAATTAAATGCTCATGCCAATGATGTAATGCTCGTTCTATCCTTCGAGTGAGAGGCTTACTGAAATGATCTGGAATTTGAAAAGATCGTTTTGGAGACTTGTCCAACTTTTCAACTTATTCGATATATTAACTCATTCTTATTAAAGTAAATAGTCGTTTTATTTGCCATAAGACGCATTAATTTTTTACTTCCAGATCTGCTAATTGAAAAGGAGCCTGTCGTAAACACCTTTATATCTGTGCCAAAGGATAAAGGCATGTTGAATTGTGCAGCGTTTGTTGCAGGGATTATTCAAGCGATGCTAGAGGTAAGGGAAACATGGAACATCTATCTTTTTAACATGTCTTTCACTTCTTACTTTTTGCCAACTAGTTATTTTAACCACTGGGTGTGTTCTTCTTTTTCAGGCAAGTAATTTCCCTTGTCAGGTTTCGGCTCACTGGTGGAATATTGGAACCGCCTATGTAATTCGGTTTGAGGAGATTGTAATTTCACGAGAAGCTGCACTAGTAGATGGGCCTAGATAGTGTTATGTGTATCGTGTTTATTTGTTTTTTGTTGCACAGGTGCTTAATGAAATTTTACAATGTGAGTTCATTATCTGGGTGAATGGCAAAGGTGAAATGCCATTTGAGTTGTGCTTTTCTGCCATTTGAACTAGATTCACTTCAATCTTTGTAAACATTATGGAGAACAAAAGGTTTCTCGGGATATTTTGTTGTTATAGGTCACTTGCTGTAAATGCCGGCCTGGGTCAGACCTGTTCAAAAGGCACTGAATCAGTTATCTAAGCGGAAATGCTCGGTAAAGCTACTTTATATAATTGTTGTAAAAATAGTTAATGACCTGTTTGTATGGGCCAACTGTGTATTCAAGCATGTCTACGATCCTTACTTGATGCAGGGTGGACCGTCTTCACTGGTTGTGGGGGGTCTGAGCATAAACTCCATTTGTTTCTCACGCAATCGTCATCGGTGGAGATGGTCTGTTTCGAACATAGTGAATTGCACGAGGGCCATTCCGTAATTTTCAAATCGTTCCCATTTGCGAATGAATGTGGTTGACGTTAGGTACGAACATGTCCGCCCATCGTTTGGATGGTCTTTCAGGAGGACACTTACATTCTCTTGGAAGCCAGCCCACTGTCCTTTCTGTCTATTTGCCATCTGCACTTCTTATTACGTGATGGGGCCATCTGTGTTTCGCTATCGATGTACATTTTTCTGTATCCCGTAGATGGGATAGGTTCCGAAGGTCTGAGCTGCGAATTCCGGCTAGGTGTTGTGAGCACTTGTTAACTTTCAGGAGAGAACGTTCAAGCATTCTGTGAGTTGTGCAATTCTTAACCCTTTGGCGACCGCGGCCAGTTTTGCATGTCGGGCTCGGGTTGTGAGTTATTGGAGCGCAATTGCGAAGCACAATGGAATCAAGATATACATTCCGAAGCCTACAGCAATGTACAGATTGAATTCAATGCCCATGGTCGTGAAAGGGTTAATGCAGTCAAATTTAGGAACCATCCCCTAGAGGTCCAATCAGATCCGGACCTCTAATCTTTTATTCTTTCATCCATATTGTAAAATTTGAGGTGTGTTCCCACGATCGACTTTCTACTCACCTTGGCATTGGAATATGAATGCGTCGTTTTCTTGTTCAGAAATCGCGAGGTTGTTAAACAGCATACGTTTACTTCTATAGAGAAACACAATACAGCACAACAGTAGCTAACGTTTCGGCAGTATCGCCTTCTTCAGAGCCTGGAAGGGTATACTAATATATTCTACTAGGCCAAATGCTTCAATAACATTTAAAAAAAGACGAAAAACTGGAAATTACATGATCAACAGCTTCTCGAAAAACTCACCGCTTTTTACGTGACTTCCAATGGAGATTAATTTTAATTTTAAAAAATTAATGTTCCTCATTGGAAGTCACATGAAAAGTGAGTTCTTTGAGAAGTTGTTGATCATGTAATTACCAAAGAGACTTTCGTCTTTTTGTAAGTGTTATTGAAGCGTTTGGCCCAGTAGATTGTATATCAGTGTACTCTTCCAGGCTCTGAAGAAGGCGATAATGCCGAAACGTCAGCTGCTTTTCTATTGTATTGTGTTCTTGAGGTGTTTGTTCTCGTTGTTCTCCGAACTCGATTTTTGGGTTCCTAATAAACCTTTCGTTAGGAGTGCGTTCAATTTTTGTTTTGGAGGATATTTTCATTATTAATTTGCCATCACCATCATTGATTGATTGCCACGGTGATCAGTTTTCTCAAAAATGGCCACAATATTGTTTTTCGTCCATTCTTTTGCGGTTTTATGCTGTATGTATCTTCTGTATCCTTCTATGTACCATTCTAGTTTTAAGAGCATACTCAACTCTTGCGCGTATTTAATACAGAGGCAACTACTTAATTCATACTTGAGACCTATATTTGCTTCGCCGGCTAGATTTACCAGAGTGAGTCCTATATGACTCATTTTTTTTCAACCGTTTACATTTAAAAAAACCTTTTTGACTGCACTTTTTCTAGCCGCTGGGTACAGTGTCGAATGCAAATGTGACGAGCTTCCGCTGCTAAAGTTTTATCCTGTATTTCAAAATATTTAGAGAGCTTCCTTTCGAATGTGTCTACTGAACGGTAGCTTGAGTTCAAACCGACTACCATTTCAAGCACGGTGTTGTGATGAATCGTGGTCCTGATAAAGAATGCGTAGGTGTAGAAAATGATAAAATAGATTAGAAAATAAAAACGTAAACTGAAGAACACTTCTAAATTCTGACAGCAATGTTTGCATGGTGGATCGTAGTAAAATATAGGAAAAGCAACTCACATACCATATCTCTAGGGCGATAGTGCAGACTCTGTTCTACAACGATATCATGTTTTCAATCTCTCAAGTCCTCTCAGGTTGTACGAAGGTTTTTGTCTGTTGTTGAAAAACGAGCAATTCCATAACTACATGAACTCATGCATCCTCCCATGCTCATGATGTAGTTCGAAGCAGTGGCACTACCCACTTGGATACTTCGATGGGCTGTCTTCAGTGGTCGTGCGGGCTCCAGCATAACTTCCCTTCGTTTCTCTCCCACGTAGTCGTCGTTTGGCGGTGGTCTGCCTCGACCATGGTGATGTCCGCGAGGCCCATTCCATAATCCTGAAATCGTTGTCATCTGCGAGTACAGATGGTTGACATTATCCACGAACGCGACCGCCCATTGTTTGGGTAGTCTTCCAAGAGGACGCTTGAATTTTTTTGGATTGCACTCCATTGTTCTTTTCGTCCATCTGTCATTGCCTTCCTTATTATGTGACCGGCCCATCCTTGTTTCGCTATTGCCATTTATTTTCCTGGATCCCGAAAATGGTGTAGGTTTCGAAGATCGGTTCCTCGCATTCCGGTTAGACGTTGTGAGTACCGGTTAACTTTTAGAAGAGGTCGTTCAAGTGCTGTATGGGTTGTGCACAGATTTCTTGACTAGGTTGAGGTATCAGCCCACAACTCTGTTGCAGAACAGAGCAGTGGGAGGACTGTTGAATCGAAAAGGTGGGCGCGGAATTTGGATCCGCTAGTTCGTCAGTGGCTTCCTCCAGTATCCTTAATGCAGCCCATGATGCAGTCTTTCTTCTGTCTAATTCCTCTTTCATGTTGTTCTCCATGTTCATTGAACGTCATTTACGGTGTAGTTTCTGCAATCAGAAAGCCATCCAGTAGGATTTGTTTGCGTTTACATCATGAGTTCTTCGTTAACTAGGCCTTCGTCCTATTTTTTGTGCAGTGCTGCAATCTTTTTTCCGCGTCGTTGAACATCGTCTCTGATTTGCTGTACTCATGGAAACCATGACGATGTGGTCCGCGAAACGAAGATTCAACAACAATTTTCAACCAATATGTATGCACATCTCTTCCAAATCGAGTGACTTCGTTATCCATTGCAGTGTGGCAGTGAACAGCTTTGGTGATATTGTGTAGCCTTGTCGAACCCCTTTACCTATGGGTATGGTGAAGGTGCATGAAAAGTTGTACATTCGCGTTGTAGTTCCAATAACAGTCTGCCACTGTTCGTATATAGGATGGGTCCACTCCTTGTTCAACGAGTGCTGATAGGATTGCCCGTTTTCAAACGATCTTTTAGTCACCATTGTGATTACAAGTGGAATGACAATCAAACAATCAGTTGTTGTTCGGCAACAACATATTATGAAGCTGCAGAGTTTGAGAAGAGCATTTGCAACATCTGCTGAAACTTCGCTAATCACAAGATCAAGATGATCGCGCTCCGACTTCTACTGGAAAGCAACCTTGTTGAAAAGCAATGAAGAAAATAATCCATAACTACGACTCTGATCTCTTCGTTAGCCATATCATGCGATATGAGTGTGAAATTAAGCAGAATGGATATATCGTTCCATCCCGTTCAACGTTCCTAAATAGAATATGCTATTTTGTCGATGAACAACCGAAGAATACCTGCTCCAAACAGGATAAGATCCGAGCATCTAAAGAACCTTCCGCTACTCCTCATCAAAAAAAAAATAGCTTGCCTGTTCATGTATCATCTGTAACAATGCAGGATTTCCGTTTCTCTCTGCCGCGTGCGAGATTGGTCCTCTGGGTACTGCTGGCTCTAGGGACTCGCTGAGCACTATGTGTTTCTTCCAGGCTTTTAGTGAAGAAGTCTGACCATCGGGTCGGTGGTCTTTCTGCCAGTGCGAACGGCTCTTTTCCATCCGTTGTCGTTCGTACACATTATGTGTCCGGTCCACCTTATCTTCGATTGTCTGGCGTACAGAACAGCATATTTGATTTTTGACGTTGACGCAGTCCAGAGCTTCGGATCTCTTTCGTTAATTGTGTGAAACGGGATACTCTTAGTATCATTCTTTAGACTGCGCGTTTAATAACGCTAAGTGATCTTTCATCCTGCTTACGCAGCAACCAAGTTTCTGACGCATACGTTAAGGTAGGAAGTATCGTTGAGTCGAAAAGTGAGCACGGAGTCGGGTTTTCTTTGTTCTCTTCACTACATCCTCGACGCTCTTGAATGCTCTCCAAGCTGCTCGTTCCCTTCTGCTCATCTCTGTAGCTAAGTCGTTCAACATGTTGATTTACCGACCTAGATAGACATAACTGGAGCATTCGGAGGTATTCGTAGCGTTGAGCGTGAATGGGGAATACGAAACCAATCCGTTCCTTATAAACATCGGTCTTGTGAGATTTAATCGAAGAAAGATCTCTCCACAAGCGTTATCAAATGCGGCTAGCATTGGTTCCACGTGGCTAGTGCTTGGTGTTATAACTATTAGTGGTCTTGGTTGTCATTACTAAATTCGGGCAGTCGCTTTTTCTAGTCTTTCCATTCTAATCCGCGGGTCCCAATGTGACGTTCTCGAAACATTCTTCTGGTCCCAATCTCAACTTTGAAATCAACGAAGGCGTTGAAGATTATATGGTCTTTGCAGTAGAACTTCTGTTATATACAGATACCTTCAACTTCGTCTTCTTCAAAGCTTCGACTCGTAATCGACGAAGATTGTCAGAGCCGGTATTGGACCACATCTCTTCAATCGTGGTCATCCGATTAGGATTGTTATTTGTTCGAATGAATCAATGGTCATGGCCAAACTAGTGTTGAGGAGAACGCTGTTGCCACCGAGTCCTCTGTTGGCATATGTTCCGAGGAACAGTTCTTCCCTTGTGTCATAGACGGCGGTGAATTGGTAGTGTCGTCTCATCTTGGGCAGTCCGATGATATCGTACCTTATCCTTCATGCTTGTATGCACAAATCCTCTGTCGAGGGCGCAAATGTGTGTGGGCATTGTAGGTATAGGTAGTCACCTTAGTTCTTCTAGGTGTAGTCAGCTTAGAATGGCCCTGAGATTTTAGCAGCGTATCTTTATTCGTTCTTTCCAGTGATGCCGCATCCAGGGCTCTTTCGGTCTAAAGAAAATGACGCCCACTTATTCAACTGTGTTTGGCATTTCATACCCACGTATACCTTGCTGAGCTCTGAACATGGGGCTGGGTACACTAATGGGTAGCTTGCTACTCTGTCGCAAATTAGACGAGGAGCGTATTTGTTGGAGGCTAACCTAACCACCTCTATAGATTTTCCAGTCACTTGATTGCAGGCTTTTGGTCGATTTGACACGTAGAGTACAATCTGCATAAACGAGAACACACTCACGTTTTGTCAAATTGATGCCGCAGAAAAACAAGGTGGTACCATCTAAAATTATTAGCAACCACCCTCGAGAATGTACTGCGAGAATTGGCATGGGAAAATATGGGAATGAAAGTAGATGGTTGGCAATTACACAGTCTTCGCTTTGGTGGTGATATCGTTCGAATAACTCAGGCGGCCGATCGGGGCGAATGTTCGCCTACTTCGACGTTTTGTGGAAATGGCCTTTTAGGTCTAACAGAAGCAAGCTTGATGAAGAAATTTGTTTCTGACGCCCTATTCACGATGAGCGGAATTTTTCAATTTTCAAGCAATTTTTCTGAATGCTCAAACTGTATCAATTTGTGCCGAGAAGTTATGGTAGCGTTGTAGTTCTACTCATTACGAATACAGTTATGAAAATCCTAACTGATTTACATTTTATCGTGGCAATAAGGTGAATCCCGAGCCTCATTTCGAAAAATCTCCTTGTGCTGCTGTAGGATCGAAATCAGCTGAACAAAATCTTCCAAAAAGCGGTTTGTTCAAAATTGCTTTCGAGAGACAATGCATGGCACAAGATTTTAGTTGGATAAACTAAGTAACGAGTAGAAAACATATAACAAAAAAGTCTGCGAGATAAGAAGCAGCCTGAAAGAGATGGAATGGAACTAATGCTTCCTGTTCCCTCCGTCCCCACATATGCAATCCTTTCAATGCTTGTAATGGCATATGTGTTAACGAATGCTTCTGCTATTGACGATGATGAATTGAAGGGTTCTGTATAAGCGAATACACGCGCGACTGTTCGACTTGCAGAGCAACTCGCTGCTCTATACATCTTAACTGTTTGGGGCATTTGAAGGACATTAAAAGGTCGAGGAAGCTGGATAGGTGGTGCAGCACGAGTTGAACGGTAACCAGTGAAGTTGCCGCTCTGTGGTATCGTCAGCGCTTTTGTGCAACAAGAATAACCCGTGTTTCGACCGTATTGTGACATGCGATGAGAATTTTATTCTCTATAATAACTAGCGACGATGGGCTCAGTGGATGCATCACCGTGAAGCTCCGCAGCATGTCCAAAACCGAAATTCTACAAAAAAGAAGGTCATAGCGGTTCGGTAGCTTGGTTTGATTTATCACGGCTGCGTTAATCGGGGTAGAACTATTACGCTGGAGAAGTACGCCCAGTAAATTGATAAGATGCACCAGGTGCTTCAACGGCTTCGTCTCCAGTTGGTCAAGAGTGGTGGACTAGTCTTCCACGATAACACGTGGCCACACATCGCACTACCAACCCAGAAGTTGATCGTACTGGACTTCGAAACTCTGTTTCGTCCACCGCACTCGCGAGACCACTCGCCTACCGACTCTCACTTCTTCAAGCATCTTAGTAACTTTGAATGCGAGAAATGCTTCGGTGGCTTCACTTCTTTCAAAAGTCCAGATTTTTTTTACAACGGCAATAAACAAACTTCTTCATCGCTGGAAAGAAAGTGCGTATATTCCAATGCTTTTTAGCTCTGTAATAAAATTTACTTTTGTGCTGAGCTATACCACTTTAAAAATACTGATTAAGCTCCAACGTTAATTTCCGAAAAGTTTGATTCCATAGGTGTTGGAAATGCAGTTGGTCAAAGCTTACAGGAAACTAGTCGAATTCTGTATTGTCCATTTTTAAGCGAAGGTGTATTCCTTCGTTTGGTGGTTCACCTCACGCATGGTTCAGAGTTATGGCTACTTATTGACGCTTTTCTAGCTGGAGTGAGTTGGTCTCTGAGAAAGCCGATAGTGGTATGCACTTCAATACGTCGGATTCCACCTATACTGTAGACTTCATTTTCTGTCTCACTTTCCAGAAACCAGGATTTTCCTTCTTTCGGAAAAGTTAGTGTACACTGCACACGTGCACCATAGGTAACAGCTCAGGAAAACAGTTTACATTTTTCGTATGAAATGCTGAGATATCTGCAAAACTCCGGACCACAGGTGTATGCAGTGGGGAACGAACACGCGCTGTTGTCCTTACCGGGGAGCAGCGCACTTCACCACTACACCATCCGGGACCCGGACCTGTGGTCCGGAGTTTTGCAGATATCTCAGCATTTCATACGAGCTATATTTCACAACATACCCTGCCATTAAGAAGAAAAAGGCAGTAAATAAAAGAGTTAAGTTTACATTTTGTGTTCGGTTTCTTATTTCCGATTTCCCACTTTTTTTTTTCACAATGGATAACACTGATTCCTCGATGCAAATGTTAATACTACGGTAAATGGGTAGGAGATGTAATGTTAAATATTATGCGAATTGACGTGAAATGACGGCCTCGTTTTTTATTTGGCGGTCTTGTTGGTTACCAACCGTTATGGACAATCTAAATGTAATTTAATTCGGACTGGAATGCGTGACGATCGGAGTCAGAAGAAACTGTTCTGGTGTTAATCGAGCATCTCCATAGGGTGTAATGGACATGTTATGATTATGGTTTAATTTCATTTATCTCACATAAAATGCGAGGTCTGATCGCTTTTAACAAAATTCTTCCTACATAGTTAACCGAAAAATTCGGTGAGGGAGATCAAGACTATTCCATTGTTGGGGAAGTTCTATTGTTTCAATGTAAAGCCGTGCTGTTGAGTTTAAAGACCTCTATCACAGATAATGGATAGCCTATATTGAATGCAGGGTACCTGCGATTACCTTTCTTCTTTACCTCATTGATCTACGGCATTGTTTTATTACCAGTTTAACATCCCGGTAGAAGCATACAACTCCTTAATTTAGAGGAATTTGGTGAGGGATGATCCAACCGTATATGTCTCAGTTCGAAGCTTAGGCACACCATTCAAACACAGTGAAGACACTAACCCATTGTTTGGTTTGCATAGAGAAGATAAGGCGCAAATTCGATTTCTGGCTACTATCTCTTTACCTGTCAAGCATTCACGTCTTAACGGAAATGCTGATAACACCGATGAAGTAAACATATGTCTGAGGGAAATCCAAAACAAGGGCCTTGGTTGTCGGGGTGGACAGCACGTGAGCTTCCGATGAGAGTGATCATGGGTTCGGAGTCCAACTGATGTTCTGAGTTTTGCTCACATTTCATCACTCTGTGATTGTATGGCAGGTCATACCCTGCCATGAAAAAGCAATATGCACTAAGTAGGAGTTAAAATATTATTTGGCTAATATTTGAAAATAGCCTTCGATATAACTTTCTTATGTGAGCCATTATATGAGTAGCAATTTAATGAAGCTGTCTTCCATATTACAGTTCGAAGCACAACGTATTTCAACAGTAAATGAGGAGCTCCATCGTCATCTTTTTCAAAGCGATGTTCCTTCCACGTCGTCTGCTGAACCGTTGCATATTGAGCTGCCAAAGCTTAAATCACCATCTCTGCAGAATCATTTCAGGTTTCTTCGCGTTTAGACTCGTAGCTCCAATTTTTTAAAATTTATCTCTGAGTCGATTTACGGAATGATTTGCTGATGAAATCCAAATTTCAGTTGATCTTGATTCCCTTATATTTCCTTATAAGTATGCCGCTACTTTTCTTCTGTAGAAAGCAAACAAGTTTTTTCTTAGATATTTAGCGAACATTTGTATTTGGCCAGCCGCTAAAAATTTGTTAGTGAACTACCGCTACTTTACCATTTCTATGAGGACGTAGGCAAAGGAAAATGGAAATAATCGATAATCCTCAGGCCTCATCTTGCAGAATAATCTCAGAGGAACTGGTGCGTAAGTACAAAGACTATTTGGATTTAGCAGCTTCGTTTCCATTCTCGTTTCCTAAACCGCTTCAGTGGAAATGTGAGATTGGTTGGACAAGGTATACTCATAGTGGAGATATCGAGCAGGTGATCTTTGTAAAGAATTTTCTGATACGAATAATAACTGCAATTGTTTTTTCCTGAAGAAATTTGGAACTTGCTTTGCAATAAAACGTTTCCAACTACGTACACACTTAATACATACGCGACTACTGTTAATTTCGTGGAGGCTGAAAGAACGGTGAAATCGTCCACGGCTTTTACACGGCAGTACTGGATTTTTGGAAATAAACGGTAAATTCTCGATAGCTGGAGGGCTTATGTGGTTGAGCACATCACAGGGTTATTGAAGAAGCTTTGCATTATTCATCTAGATTTTTCAAACCGACCGTCATTTAACCTCGGTAGTACTTGATACTTGAATGGTCTGTCCTAACTGGTTGTGCGGGCCACAGCGTAATCTCCAGTTTCGGAGAATTGGTGGTTAAGCCTTTATGGTTTCCTAAAGTTCCGAGGTCAGCCTGGCCACAGTCTGCTCTAGGTCTTCACCACTACAGGGAGTCGCAGTCCTTGTGGATTGGAGGATTGGAGGGAGATTTGCTATAATACATAGTTTGTTACCAAGACAGTGGTGAATCTTGGAATAGGTTTACTCTTAGCTGGGCTTGCCGATGGGAAGGCAGGACTCCTTCTCAGCTTCGGAGACCATGCCAGGAGATGGATTCCCCGCTGTACATCGCAGTTCAACATCCAGGAACACCTCTCAGCCAAAATGAGGCGGTAAACCATTGGGAGGGGTAAACCTCGGTAGTAATAGTTAGTAACTTCTTGCATTGTTTAATTGGCACGAGGTTGATAAAGATGTTTATTGGGCTAACGTTTCAACGCCTTCATCTTCATCAGAGCTGGTGATGTGAGTCGATGGTCCACAGTCGTTCGTCTTCTCGATGTGGTGCCTTCGTCGTCGTAAGAAGGATCTTCTTCACGAGAACACCGCTTGAATGAAGGCAGCTTACCCGGCAGCGCTATCACCGATCATCGATGGGTAGTCATTATCAACAACAACTGTCCTGTACAAAAGAGCGCGGCAGTGTGAGGTTGCCTCATTCGAGCGGTGTTCCACTGAAGAAGATGTGACTCGATACGACGACGGAGAGACCACACTGAGACTGTGGCTCTGGTGAAAATGAAGGCGTCGAAACGTTAGCCAAGTAAAACGCCTTTATCAACATCACAACTTCATGTTAGTTTAAGAATCCGAGAAGATACTCAACGAGAGTTATAATGTTTTCCTTTTTCACTATAGTTTATTTCTCATGTACATTGTTGTCAGAATTTGGAAGGATTTTGCCACTTATGTTGAATGTATTGCTGTATTTCCGTCCATCTTATACGATAGCCACCACAATTCATAGAAATTCGAAGTGAAAATGCAGCGAATTACTGGTAAGATATTGAACTTTGTGTGTCGTGTTAAACACAAAGGCCGATGCCCGTTTCCTAATAACTCCCGACAATTTTCGATAACTAGTGGACTAACGAATTTGGGGAGGCTTATGCAGTATATAGAACTTATAAAAGGGCCTTTCTCAAAGAATGGCTGTTTCTTTCGTGATAAAGTAGAAAGTAGTCTGTATATTGTTAGTTGGGCGGGTGTAACGTTGTGGTTAGGCATGCTCTGCAATATAAATCTTGTCATTGGTTCGATCCTGCTGCCCTGTCTCACCAAGCCTTCCATCCCACCGTGATCGGCAAATTGGTACCAGACTTGGTTGGGAGGATAGCAACACTACCTCGATACATCGGTAGATCATCGGGAGTCATTGTGTAGGCCAGATGTGCATTCATTCACCTCCAATGGTTCTTGATGAAGTCGAATTTATGGCGCATCCCTCAGGGATTAATCAATTTTAAGAGCTCTATCCTTTATAATTTTACTCACTACACAATCAACCATCTTTGAGCATATAAGATCATACCGCTGATGTGCACATTGTATGACGTTTACTGAAACATCTCAAGGAGTAGTGTTTCCCGCAATGCTTACGCTTAGTACTAAAGTTTTTGGCATGTTGAGAAGCGTATTTCTGATTATACTCCTTTGTAATTGCCTAGTGAAAACTCACACATTTTCTCCACTTTTTCCAACCCTTGGTGTCGGTTTCTTCAACGAAATGGGATGGTGGCAGAATCTAAGCACCATCGCATCCAGTGCAACGGAACTAGACATCCATCTTGAAACCGTCTAGCGAAGCTATCCGCTTGCTCTCTCTATAGATCTTTCAAAAGTTCATCGAGTTTGGATGACTAGGCAGAGGAGGGGTCATATGTGGTGCCGCCATTGGTCTATTGTGTCCATGGACATCTCTTCTATACTGTATTTCCTCATAACCAACGGTTTCTATGAGTTGAGGAAATTGTCCCGTCCTGTGATGATTATGGTGACATCCATGTTTTCCTTGAATTGGAACAGTATTGAACTGCTCCGATTCTGTAATCTACTGTCATCTCTTCAGCTTCTGATTGATGACTTGATTCGAATGTACCTTCATGTTTTTCCAGCGGTCATTAACGCAGTGGGTTGTTGTCCTCAGCAAGTCCGCATCTATCAGGATTGTCGCATACCAAGTATCGGTACAGAGATGTCTTACGTCATCTAACGAATCGAGCATGAACTTCAACACTCCATAATAGCCTACATCTGCAATTATTCAGGGATCGCTACCAGTATATAGCAAAAATATGTAGGTGTAGCCATCCCTCGTATACAATTCGAACAAATTGGGTGGTTACTCGTGCCTCTTATGTGTGATATACTGGCGAATGACGAGTCCACTAACAGCATGATGGGATTGTCAGTACATAGAGCTGAATTTATCCTATATTAAAGTATGTATCGTGAAATATTAGTATGTTTCATAAGGACTGTTTTCATTTTTATTTCGTTTTTTTTCGAATAGCAGTAGTGGGATACCGAGCGACAAGGTCGCTCATATGGCAGAAGTCAAAATTGTGATTACTACCAAGCACTAAGTAAAGTTAACCCATGTATTATTATCTGATCAACTAACCATTATAGGTTGGGGGTATTATGACGTTGACGTAGAGTAATGGGGTTACTCTGTAGTGAAACTATCCAGGCTAAAAAGGAGTTTAGCATTTCAGTTTAGAAGTTTCAGTTCCATGTGAAAGTAATTCAATAGCAGGGCCTGGCGACGTCCTGGAAAGATCCTAGTCGCCAAATGGAGAATCGCTGTGGGATCTACAAAGGTCGATAGATAGCTGTAATGATAAGTCGTGCTCGCCTGACACAGGTTTCTAGGGTCATCTAGGATGCTCAGTTACCCAGTAATATGTGGTATCAGTGATTTAGAAGTTGTACTGGAGCTGACACAATGCTTCGTAAAGATGGGTTGACCAAGTACCAAACAAGAAACATTTTTACGATGTAATTTTAGGTGGAGTATCCAAAAGAAGATGTGTTCTTTTTTGATGTTGAAACGTGTGTACAAGATGGGCAACTGCCAACTCTTGCTGTTGCGTTGTCTGCTGAGGCATGGTAGGCCGTATGATTAAATCATTTTCTCAAGAAGTGCATTTTTGTCTTCATCATCTTGTTCCATATCTCTTTGAATTCCAAACGGTCGAAACTATTGCTGTCTACAAAGAGTGACTGACTGCAATTACCAGTCCAAATTCTGGAACTGTTTGGCCTTTGAATTCCTGGAAATTAGCATGGGTATTTTACGCTGTCCAACTTATAGACTGCAGCAGATTACGTATAAAATTATAAGCAGAAGTTTATTCTGAAAGTTGTTAGTGTGAAGAAAAGGCCAGAGATACTGCTGTGTATTATTTATTTTTAATCAGGTATTGCTGGTGCAGTGATCGTCTGGTAAACCACACGCATGTTCCATTAGTAACCCGACTTGAGCATATGATTCCTCTTGGAGGTGCTTTTTTTGTTCATCTCATTAATATCGTGGAACATGGTTAGTACATTGTAATTCTTCGTATTTTTGTTGAGCAAACGCGAGGTGTTATTATTCTTTATTCACGAATGAGCTGACGTTTCGGCGGATTTCGCCTTCCTCAGAGCCGCTTTCTATGAGGTCTCCACTAAGTATGTCACGTAGAGACCAACCGCACAGAAATCACATGGAAGTATAATGTCTTTATAATGTCATTATACATTAGTATAATTTGTGAATAAAGAATAATAACACCTCGCGTTTGCTCAACAAAAATACGAAGAATTACTTGATCAATGCCGAGGTTAATAGAAAGTCGGTCGTTAGTACATTGTGTTGAAAAATGAAATTTAGGTATGGAGAAACCTCGCCTTGTAATTGGTCATAATGTTGGCTATGATCGAGCCCGAGCCAGAGAATCGTACGAGAGAAGGGTATTTTCCTTTTTGACCTTTATGGACCAATAATGAAAGAAATATTGTTTTGTGGCCGTTTGAACTGATGTAAATGCACTTGTGGGGGATTATTGCTAGCGAAAACGATAATAAAACCTCACCTACCAAGAAGACCTGTGGAGTTGAGGATAACACTAAGATATTCTGACAGAGAACACCGCTATGCACTGAGTTCGATGCGCATCGCGTGCGGCGTGCTATTGGATGTCCCATGTTGCTGCAACACATAATTAAGCGTGGTTGCAAGACATTAAAGAACATATGATTAATTTCCTAATGTGAGTACTGTTACGTTTTTTTTACTCTAGAAATCGGCTATTCGATTCATGGACACTATGTCCATGGCAATTCCGATGTTCGGCATGGCGGATCATCAAGTAGTTACATATGAATCTGATGATTCGGATTTCACGTTGAGGGTATGTCTATTTTCGGTTTTTCCCATTTCACAGATTGTCTTTAACAAGCTTTTACTCTAACGCTGTGAAGACGCTTTTTTAGACGCATGTTGTAAGAACTTTCAAAGTAAATTAATGCTGTTCGAATGAATAGGATTGGATGACGCAGTTTATCAGGCCAAACGTTTATTTGATCAGTTAAGCTAAACCTGGCCTATTTGAGATTAATGATGATACTATGTATGATGTGCAGTTCACGGTAACAAAGTGCATTTTTTTAAGTAAAAGTTTTCTCACACTAGTGAATAAAGTTCAATATATATATCCCAACGGTTTACCGCCTCACCGTGGCTGAGAGGGCGTTCTTGGGTGTCGGACTGCGATGTACAGCGGGGGATTTATACCCTGGCAGGGTCTCCCAAGCTGAAAATGAGTGCGGCGTTTCCATCAGGAAGCCTAGCTAAGAGTAAACCAATACCAGGATCCACCACCGTCTTGGTATCAAAGTCGCATGGTGCTAAATTTCCCTCTGATCCAGAAGGGCTACAACTGCCGGTGGTGGTGAAGCCTGGGGCAGGCTTTGGCCAGGCTGCCATTCAAGTATCAAATATATATATATATATATATATATATATATATAT